CCACAGTGTAGGCCACAAGGTAGGCCACAGGTAGGCCACAGGGTAGGCCATGGCCTAGGTCACATTTTGTCCACACCTGTTGCCAGCTCCCAAGTAATCAGGAGAAAACCTCCAACCAATTATTTTTTTGTCATTCTCTTCTGTTTTCTGGCCCTTTAGGCACTCACTAACAGCAATCAGTTTCCTTTATTCCTTTTTTTTCCAGGCTGTTGTGAATAATGACAGAGAGGGGGTTTTGAAAGCCTTGATATCACTCAAAGAAACAATAGTACAGCTTAAGAAATCATTTTTGCGTATTTATGGTTAGTATTAATTAATCTTTCTAGCCAGTACATTTAGCTCTAAAAACTGAGTGTTGAAAAACTTAGAGATATCTTGGTTGTATTCAGGTTTCCTTTTATTCTGCTCTTTGACTAGCTTCAAATAACACACGCAAAACCCTCAACCAATCAAGTTTAAATCTAAAATAAATTGCCAATTTATCTACAAGTGATTCCCCTTACTTCAGAAACCTTGCCTGTTTTAACTTAGAATGATTCTGGTCAGCTCCTCAATTGAGCCTGTTACACACAAGCAAGTTTTCCTAGACACGTTTTTACAAGGCAATTAATTTTTATTTGCTCAAGACATGTGAAAGAAAAAAAAAACTTGTCAAGTATTTCCGTGAGTAGTTACGAAAACGAAGAGCTAAGACCCCCTACAAAAACCAAGACTCGTTACGAAAACGAAGCCCCATTACAGAAAGGGAGGAGGAGTAGCGTAAGACTTTGGTTAAGGTATTGATTTGTAATTTTTTACCTGCAAGAAAAGTTTTATCGAATTCAATCGGTCGACATGGGTCTTCGTTTTTGTAGGGGGTCTTCGTTTTCGTAATGGGTCTTCGTTTTCGTAGGGGTCTTCGTTTTAATAGGGGGTCTTTGTTTTCATAGTGGGGTCTTCGTTTTCGTAGGGGGTCTTAGGTCTTCGTTTTCGGGTCTTCGTTTTCGGGTCTTCATTTTTGAAACTACCCTCATGAACATAATCTTTGTCCACAAAGGTAGTACCAACCTCTTTTGAACTTGTTTTCGTAATGGGTCTTCGTTTTTGTAGGGGTCTTCGTTTTTGTAATGGGTCTTCATCTTCGTAGGGGGTCTTCGTTTTCATAATGGGTCTTCGTTTTGTAGGGGGGTCTTAGGTACCTTTTCCTTGACGAGTAGAGAAACTTGCTGCTGTATATGTGTGTATAAAAATCAAAGATTGCAGCTATAATTTTTGTCAAGAAAATACTGAGCACTTGCTCTTCAAAATTACACCTGCTCAACAGGTTAGGATCTGCTACTGTTAAATTCTTCCTTAAAAAATTATCATGATTACTATTGTTATTACTATAAGTGTTATTATTGCTATGGTCATCATTATCTTCATTGTCATTAGTAGTATGATCACCATTGTTATTAGTTTTCAGGGCCGTAGCTAGCATGTGGCAAGACAAGGCAATTGCCTCATCTTAATTTTGGCCTTTTTAATTTTTTTCTTAAAGATTGACTTTTCTGAAGAAAAATGCCACGGAAAATCCTTAAAAGAGCATTTCTAAACCTTTAGATTTCAAAGTTTTCTGGGGGGCATGCCCCCAGACCCCTCTAGCAGCTCACGCCTTCGGCGCTTGAAACTTGCCTCGTCTTGTCCTGAAATCTGGCTACAGCCCTGGTTTTGTACTCCATACATTTTTTTTTCATATTTGATTCACAGATGTTTGTGATCCTGAGGAGTTTTACAATGGTCTGAGAATCTATCTGTCTGGGTAATTAGTGGAAATCAATGGTTTAATTACTTTCAATTTGGAAATACCTTGTAAAAAACAAAATAGTTTAACTTGTCTCATAGGTACAATGTTATCTCAGTCTTCTTTTTAAATTGATACTCAACACTAACTGCCCTCTTTAATGGTACTATAATTATAATGAGAAAAAATTTACCATCATTATAACTGTGGTTCAATTAACATGTTTCATTTGTAAATATTAAAGTTTCTGAAAATCAATTAAATTATCATATTTCAGTTATGATGATTTTCACGTCATGATAAAGATAATGTTAATAATTATTATGATTGTTATACAGAGGGCATTCCCCAAGGATGTAGCTTAATTATTGTCTTGAATGAATACCAAACACCGAAAAATAACCTTGAAACCAAGAGCAAACACTGTCAAATGACTGGATTCAATTGTTGAATTTAAACTGAAGTCATGGATAGATTGTTTTGTGTATAGTCTCAAAATAGGTGTTCTTTGAATTTCAGGTGGCTTAACAACCCAGCTTTACCAGATGGCCTTATCTATGAAGGTGTTAATGAGATGCCTCTGCAAGTAAGTTGTTTTTATTTCATACATAGTGAGATTTACATTCATTTGTGAAGTACTATACTTGTTCATATCTGATTGGAGAAATGATGTATTTTCACAGTCATTGGCTTCCAATATTTGAAATGTGTCAGTCAGAAAGAAAAAATCTCAGTATGCATGAAATGGAAACATGATACCATGGAAAGTGCTTGAAGGATTTTTAATCACTTGCTGCAATGCATGAAAAAAAAAAATCACTCTTTTTCTGTGCTCACTTAATTTCTTTGATGCATCACAAGTGAATAAAAAAAAATAATTTGTGCCCAAATGTTCTCTTTCTCAATTCCTCTATACTTCACACTTCCCTGTATACCAACATACCTGATAAATGCACTTTATCTACCCACTCTTCACCAAATCTTATTTGTTTGTGATGGATTAGTTAATTTTACTTTTTGATGTGTTGTTTTCAGTATTCTGGAGGGAGTGCTGCAGAGTCCTCGATATTTCATACTCTCGACGCTGCATTAGGTGTATTACATTCAAAAACAGGTAAAAATTAATAACCCAGTGAAAAGTTTGGGATTGGAAAGGTGTACAACTTAAATTTGGATCCCTAAGCAAGCATTGTAGACCCGTGGTACCAGAGTAACTCTGATGGTACCTTCCCGTCTGCAAGCCTCCATATGAGTACGAAATAATGTCATGAGATTTTATAGACATTGATAAGCAAGCAAACTGTGGTGATTTAACACTGAATCAAAAGAAATTATCAAATGAGGATTCCTGGTGGTTGTGATCTTTCACCAGGTTCTTTTGGCAACTTTCTTGTGATCCTATGTAACAAGCAAAAGTTATTAAATTCTGTACAATAAAAATTATAAATTGTACCAAAGGACACACAAGGTACTTGGCAGCTCTGTTTTAGCTCTTGCATCAGGGACACTTCAACCTTCCAATCTCTTGTCAACCAAAACCCTTGTCAGTGCAACTTTTGAGAAAATCAGACTGCATACAGTTTAGGTCCATGTTTTTCTGCAACAGGTAGTTACAAGTATTTACTCCAAGTACATCTTTATTATTGAGATGATGGTTTGGCTTTCCCTTATTTTGCCTTTGAAGTTCATTTGAGTTTTTCAAAAGCTGAATATTAATTTTATTTTTTCTGATCTTTATTTGCTAACATTCAGAATCAAGTTCAGGTGGTCAGTTCTTAGAAAAAATGCGTTACTACATGCCACCCAAACACCGTGCATTTATCGAGGCTGTAGCAAATGGACCATCAATCAGAAACTATGGTTAGTGTGTGAGAGTTAGTATTTGGACTCCCCATTGATTACAGTTGATCCAAATGGACACCATGTTGTCCCATAAACATAATGATTATGAATTACCTATTCTCTAATCTGTGTACATATTGCATTCAAATTAGTCCTTGCAAGTGGAGACCCTGATCTCAATAGGGCATATGATCTCTGTGTGGAGAAACTAACGGACTTCAGAAATGTACACTTGCAAGTTGTAGCTAGGTTAGTGGATTGTAACACACTAGATGGGGAGGCATGCTTCTCCCAAGAGTATCTTTAATTGTACAATTGATATAGAAAATAAGGAACTCATGCATTTATGCAACATCATGTAAAACCTTTTAATGGTGCATTAGGGGTCACTCATGAAGGACAAGAAAGATGCCTCTTTCATCTTTGGGGTATAATCACAAGAAGTGAGAGGAGGAGAGGGGGTGGAGAGGTAGTTTGGCTCTCAGGGCCACGTCGCCCCTTGGGGGAGAGAGGAGAAGTACCTGTAGTGTGGATGCATCATATGGGTTATCACAAAGTTATTACAGACAATTCTTCAAACAGCTATTCATAACAATGGCTGCCAAGGTTTCTAGAAAGTCTTTCATGCAAGCTCTAAATCTGGCCATTCCTGACGTGCCGACATTTTTCACGCAGATTAGACAGATGTTGAAATGTAATTATTATTATTATTATTATGTTGAAATGTTAGAGTTGGAAATACAGTAATGATTGAAATCCCACTTTTACTTCAACTCTGTAACTCCAAAGTTATAATAATTGTTCATTCTCCATGCCAGCTCCCATTCATTTCCTTCTTAAGTTACCATAGTTTGGTGTGTGTTAGATCAAGATAACAACCTCTACCTGATGAGTTTGAGTATTCTCATTACCTGTTTGTTGGATAATGTGTGGATATTATAGGGAGAAGTTACATGTTAACCACTTCTGAGAGTTCAAGGGTTAAAATTCTCTTGATGATAAAACAGTTTTAGCAGAGGTAGAATTCTGTTGTTGTTGGTGTTCATTTTTGAGCTTATTGCTGTTAAATTTTTCCTCATGAAATGAAATGAGCATATGCAATACACAATTCACTTTTGTTCACATTATATTTACTAGGTACATCATTATTCCATCAAACAGAGAAAAAGAGTCAAAGCAGAAGGGCAAGGCCTTGATTGGCACAGGAGGGTCTGGTGAGGCATGGCTTACTCTACCAATATTATGTTCACAGTTATAGGTTAAGAAATTTTCATAAGAATCATAACAACTTTTGTTAACTGTAATTGGGTTATATTACTATGTTTTTATATGAGACTAAATGATCCATGATCAACTCATAATTATGGAATCACATTCTTAGCTGATATTTTATTTATTCTCAGTTGATTTACTGGCCATAATATAATTCACATGGCTGCCAAATTATCATAATTACCACAAATTTACAAAACCTACATAATTTGATATGCATTACAAAACACATTACAAGTATATGATGAAAAAGAAATGTTGTGTAGCTTTCATTTACTGATGCCAAGTTGATGTTTGGTAACTTTTCTTTTCAGATCTCATGTCCTTTCTGAAGCAGATTCGAAATGAAACTGCCAGTACTGCTAGTTGTAACAACAATATTGAAAGAGATTCATCTATAGAATTACACAAGGAATCAATCAGAGTGTCAGATGATACAATAATGGTGTCTGATGACAACACTGCAAGCTGACCTTTGAGTCTTAAGCCCTGATCCAGGGAGACCTCCACACCCAAGGTGTACTTCAAATTCAAAGTCAAGAGACTGACCAAAGACTTTTTTAATCCTTTTTTTAAATGCTTTTGGATAAGAAAATGCAACTTATTTTTCTGTATTTTTGTGCTTAATTTATATGACACTTTCGAAAACTGTAGACTTAATCATCAACAATGCAATATTACATTCCATCATTTAGAAAAATATTTTAATATCAATGCTTACAGCTATGTATACATAAATTAAGTTATGTTAAATATATCACTTACACTGCAACTGAAAGCAACTTGTCACCCTTTGATTGAAAAATGCCATTGAAAAGTTAATCATTAAGATTTTGTCACTTCAGAAGCTGAAGTGTCTTTTTCTTAATGACAAATGTCACAGACTAAAGTAAATTGCAGTATTGAACTTACAAAAATAAATACAACGTTTATAATTTAGCCTTGTCTCAATGCCATCACTTTGTGTGTCCACACTCATGGCTTTTATTCCCTATCCCGAGATAAAAAAGGTTACATCAAAAATAAAACCTTGAAGAAATAAATTTTGGCAATTTACTGGCTGAACAGATGTGAATGTGACGACTTAAAATCTGTTAATTCCAGACAGACTCACTCCGAACACAATCAGTTATGATGGGGCAATCAAGACACTCTGTAAAGAATTCTTTTGCCTTCTTGTGATTGACAGTCCACGTAACCACTTGAATACCATTCCCACTCCACATTTCCAACATGTCTCTGTGAAATAGACAATGTATTGTCAATGAGTGACAATGGGAAAGATGCTGATAATTATTATGATAAGCACAAGTTAGACAATTTACAATTTTTAGAGTCATCCACATCTAATTTCTCTTTGTTTTGTACCATGTCATGTCAGAAAACTCACTATAATAAACTTACACATTTATTTCTAACCTTTTAATTCCCAAAATTTGATTATTAATTATTTTCTTCTAGCTGCTACACATTACCTTGTAAATTAGTTGCCAGAATTTGGTGTTAGATCAAGATAACAATTTCTACCTGATAAATTTGAGTACTCTCATTACCTGTTTACTGGATAATGTACGGACATTTAAAAGAGAAGTTACATACTTGAGTAGTCACTTTAGGAAGTCAAATGGTTAAGCCAGACAAGTGACTTACTTGCACACATGGTCCTTTTCACAAGACAGAATAGGAACGCCAACAAAATCAAGAAACCAAGGCAAGGCTGATTCCCACAGTCTGTCAAAGAAACTCAGCACTGATACTTTTATGGAATTCTCTATCTCAAATAGTTCCTTCCCTCCTGTCAAAATAAAGCTCATAGTATCCCTCCACCATACTAGAGCAGTCACAATTTGTGGATCCACCTTTCGTACCTGAAAATTTCAAAAGCCAGGATAGTTGTAATGAAGTATTGTTTAATAGTTAGAATTAAATAAATGAATGACCAATTTAATCTAGTTCTGAATGCATCAAAGAAGCTTTGTCCCCTTTCTCTCCAATATACTTCCTTAGGATACACTTGACCTGTGTCAAGTTCTCAATCAATGGAAAGAAGCAAAGATTAAAGCCTATATGCACAAAAATGGAAGTGGAGAGCCACTTTCTGTCAGAAATCTCTGTTTTTCCCTCACTAACTCTCGCTTGTCATCAATAAGCCAGAGCAGGGTTGGGTAAAACTATGCTGATGCTGAGATCCTCAGATTTGAAAATTTACTTTATTTGGCACCCATCATCCCTTGGGAAATACTGAAAGCAATAACAAAAGGAGAAATTTGATGCCAGTCACCCTTAGGATTTTAAGGTTAAGTGACTTCAGTCAGCTATATTCTCCTTTCAAATTATCATAATTATCCCTTGTATCACTTATTATTTTCGTCAGTATAATTAGAGAGTTACCTGGTAAATAACACTGGGAAAATAACAACACACAAGGGCCTTATCATACAGGTGATAGCTTGAGAACAGATTCTTTAAATATTGAGCTGTCTGAAATAACAAACAAATGATTTAGTGAAATAAAACAGCTTCAACACACAAGAACCCTGGAAAACCACTCCAGAAATGCCTAAACAGTTAGAGCAAGAATTCCCATACATTTGTTTTTCTGATAATGAACCCGAGATATTTTTTCCCCATTATTCAGACCTTGCATTTCTCAACTGGACAAGGATGCAGCATGAAAAAATTTAACACCTATTTTACTTCACAAACTTGTAGGTATTTTGCCTCGCTAAGAGGAAAGTTGCAATATTTGACAATGAGCTTTATTTAAATCAAGCAAAACAAAATATCTCTAGGTTGTAGACGTCACATTAAGGTTGAGGGATGAATAATTAATTTCTTTTCTTTTATTCCCACTAGCCTCAGAGCCATGTTAGAATCTTAATAAATTGAAAATGGCCTATTCTTTCAAGTTGATTATCAAATGATGGTAACTTCTTGTTAGCAGCTGTTTCCTTTGTTTTGTTTCCCAACATCGCATCTCTCATTGTATAATTTCAGCTACAGTAATGTTTATAAAAAGAGGGTCAAAGTTTGGTAATGTGACAGACAACCAAGATGAAGAGACAAGATCAATCAGATCACATGTAAATGCTGAATGCTTAAACAAAAGTTCAGGGCAGTGCTGTGGATGAGAAGTTTTTTAAAAAAATTATCACTTCATGTCTTCAAAAGCAAAGAAAAAAATGCATTATTGCTTCCCGATAATTTTCCTTACTTGAAGTGTTTCAGTGCCTTTTTTGATCTCTATTATCATCTTTAAACCAAGAGTTGAACAAAGTTCCACAACTTCTTCCAGGGTAGGCACTTTTTCTCCTGCAAATTTTTCTCTGTAAGGAAAATGAAGCAACACGCGATGAACCTCCATGTGTACGTAAGCTTTCAATAGGAAATAATATTTGACAGGTTAAATTTTCAATATTATTTCATATGTTTTCACGCACACATATTTAATTCTTGCTGGAAAATTGATAAAATTTGTAGTAAACTCTAGTTTTGTTCGAAAACTTCTTTCACCCTGTTATCATTTTCAGAAATTTCCCAAGATTTAGGCCTCTTCAAACGCATTTGATTTAAGAACCCGATCTAATATATTCAACAGTTTTGAAAGGGTTGCATATCACTATAAGAGGTGGTTAATAAAACTTTGTAACATTTCAAGCCAAGAGAAATGCTGATTTCAGTAAACAAAGGCTTGACTATCAAATCAAAAGCTCACAACTTAATCCGTTAATTCTAAAAATTCTAAAAAGAGGTTAAGGAGTTTAGTGATAATAGTATAATATCGATTCAATAATCCGCCTATAAAAAATGTTTGACCTCTGCACTTTAAATATATTACCTCAGTGGATGTTTAACCGATGCATCCAATTTTCTAATTTCTTCCAAAGTGAAACTGCTGACGGAACCGCTTCCATTCGTAGTCCTATCAACGGTAGAATCATGAATAACAACAGCCCTACTGTCTTTCGTGAAATCAACGTCAAACTCCACACCAATAGCTCCATTTTCTTTCGCACTTCGGAAAGCAGCCAAGGTATTTTCGGGAGCTTCTGCCGATCCTCCTCTGTGCGCAATTAGCCCTGGTGATTTCTCTGATAGGCCTCCTCGTAGAAAAGACTTGACGAGTTGTGGGTCAGGCTTCGGTAGACGAAATTTTCGGTAAATTATTAGAAAAAGTGCCGGAATAAAAATTATCAACAGACACGCCATATTTAGAAACGATGAATCAGTGGTAGTGCTACAGAGACCACAGGCAGCCCAAGCTCTCTTTGAGAACCACACACGGAACATAATTTGCATATTTATAAGGATTTGTATGGGATTTCTACAAGATCTCCATAGAGATATTTAAAAGTGAAAATATTAAATAAAAATGGCTTACCTTATTCCATACGTGTGTTGTTTGCTCCTGGTGTCGTTATTTTACCGATTTCACTTGATTTAAGCGGTTTTTTTTTAATCTTGGTTTTCCACAGGTAGCCCAAGCTCTCTTTGAGAACCACACAAGGAACACAATTTGCATATTTAGAACGATTTACGTATGATGCACGATCCTTCGCAGTAGATAGCGCTATTTATGCAATAGCGAAAATCAGACCTGAAAAAAATCAGGCCTGTACGGGATTCGAACCACTGACCTCTGCGATACTAGCGCAGCGCTAGTGTCAGAAGACAAGTGTCTTCTCTTTGTGGAGTAGAAAACCAGGATTAAAAAAAAAAAAAACACTTAAATCAAGTGAAATCGGTAAAATAATGACACCAGGAGCAAACAACACACGTATGGAACAAGGTAAGCCATTTTCATTTAATATTTTCACTTTAAACTATCTCTGTGGATATCTTGTAGAAAACCCCGTACAAATCCTTATAAATATGCAAATTGTGTTCCTAGTGTGGTTCTCAAACAGAGCTTGGGCCACCTGTGCAGAGACCAGTTTGGCTGGTCCGTCCAGTACCAGTAACGCAAGGATACGCAAGGTCACGCAAGGTCTTCACGACAGTACGATCAAGTTCGAAAATTCAGCAACGAGAAATAAAAAAAGTTCTCCCTCCATCATGGACGAAAATCACTTAAGGGTTTCTTACTGAGAGCTGAGCTTTTACTTCCGGAGTACAACAAGTTTAATGGGAAGTTGGAGTCACTAAAGGTCGGATAACACTGTTGACAATAGTCCACATTATTATCCAACTACACCTAGACGAGTACGAATAACGCCATAGACGAGTAGAAATATCACGCGGTATTTGTACTCGTCTATTGTAGTACCGGTTAAACTAGTTTTCTCGCACGGCGCAAGCGAAGAATTGGATTGTAGTTACGAAAAAAAAGTGGCGGACAATTTCAATCATATTTCCGACAACGAAGAGTCAGAATGGCTGGCAAATATAGATCCAAGTTCATTTGATTAATCGAACGAAGAAAAACAGCTTGACGACCACAAAATTTCTTTATTTAATGAAGAAAATAGAAACAGCAACAAAACAACGCGCCAATTCCGTTCCGCTTCGCATACTTCTGTCACGCACTCCCCGTAAATAAATATCCGCGAAATTCGCCCCCAGAAACAACAGTTTGGCGTGTTGGATAATAAATAACTTACTAGACGTTTTGTTGTGCAGTATCGCTGAGTACTTTTAATCGTTATTTGTATTTTGACGAGCCCGTAGGGCGAGTCAAAATACAGCACAACTCGTAAAAATACTCTGCGATACTACACAACAAAACGTCTAATAAGGTACATATACTCTGTTCTAGCAGCTGTGGAAAGAGACAGTATGTGGAGATGAAAAATCTCTTCCGAACTTATGTCCCAGCTATATTCTTTGCGCCTCCATCCTGCGCTTCCCTGGGTTGCGCTAACCCGACCTTTTACAATATGCTTCATGTAGGGGTAAAGGAATTATCGACGTCTTATCCAGTGCATTAAATATTAACAGTGTTTGGTTCTGTTTAAACCGCACTGAAGTAATGTTATCCAATGCTTAACAAGACTCAATATCGCACATAAATTATTATTTTTGCGAGCGAAATTAAACAAGAAATTGGATAAATTAACGAAATTCTTCCCAACTGCGAAACGCACGTGAAATGAGCAGCAATATTCCAACATTCTTTCCCAGACCCCGCTATGTTTGTAATGATCGTGGAAATGGCTCTTACAGCGGTGTCGTACGGCCTACATATTTATGTTACAATACTTCTCATTTTGCTCAGTATTTTGATGTTTATCCTGTACCGTTTACTTCGGTTTCCTCGTCCTACACCGTACACAGTGAAATGTTTTCTCCGAAGAGGGGCGCCTAGTAGAAGTTCCCCCGTGATCATCGGTCACAGAGGCTGTAGGTTGGAAGCGCCAGAGAACACTCTGGCGGCATTCAGATTAGCGAAAGAAAATGGGGCACTAGGGGTGGAATTTGACTTGGACTTTACGAAAGATGGCGTACCAGTAATAATTCATGACTCAACGGTGGACCGCACAACAGATGGGCATGGCAAGGTGTGCAATTTTACTTACGAAGAAATTAGAAGACTGAACGCCTCAGCAAAACACCCAAATAGGTAAGACAAGTTTATATCCTTGACAATGCCAAAAAACGAGTGAATTTTTTTTGGTTTGAGTTAACTCAAGACATCTTGCCACGGTAAGATGTCCGTACAGGGGGTGGCAAAGGGTCTATACGTAACGCGTGATTAAGCCCAAAGTAAATAAGTGACACGTAAATTTTACAGAAAGGCTAGGTAAGCCGAGATTTTAAGTTTTCGCTTTTAGATTCGTCATACGAGATATTCTGTTGAAAGTACAAGCAAAGGTCTCATGCGAAAGGAGATCAGAACTCCCCTCTGTACTGCCTGATACTGTTGTTCTTAGCCAATCAAGCTTCAACATCCTCCAACCCCACCCTGCTACCCTCTACAGCCAGATACTGTTATCCAGGCCCAATCAATTCAAAACTTCCACATCCTCTAACCCCCACCCCCTTTGCAACTCATGAGGATTTGACTGGCCTCTGTGCCCAGAGAAAAAAGGAATTTAGCTAAGGCTCTTCCTAGGGATGGGAAGCCATAGAATAGGGTATTTCAGTGCAATGGTGGTCCTGGGGGGGGGGGGCAGGAATTTTAACAAATCAATAAAAAAGTCTGGGAGATGGCTCCAGGGAGAGGGAAGGGGAAGACTCTATAAAACCAGAGTCAAATTTTATGAGGGGTGATTACCACCAAAATTAAGTTTGGAATTTTATTATGCTGTTTGCCGATGCAGTTTTTATTATTTTCGCTGGTGTTTTGGGTGTTCTCAATGATGTTCGCCAAAACCTCAATGCTATTATTCATGTCCGTATGCTGTTATTCGAAACCTTGATGCTTTTATTCATGTCCATATGCTGTTATGCGAAACCTCAATGCTATTATCCGTGTTTTGAAATATGTTCGTCTTAATCCGGGTCTTCAGAGAGCTCGACCATTGTGGTCTGGCACGAGTGATGAATTAATTATGCATTTTCTTCCCACCAAAAAAAGATTTATGCTTCTCTCTCAAACCTACAAGATGGCGGAAGGCAGTAGTTCCTCTCGCACACCTTGTGAGAGGGCAGTCAGCCTGCTTCATGTTGTGCAAAATTTACTTGAACAGTCAAACGAAGTCTCAGTTACAGGCACTTCAAATGAGCCACATCAAGGATCTTCAATGCAGCAAGGAGTACAAAATGTAAGCAACAGAGGCTCTAGTCAGCAAAATAGTGACTCTCTTTGACAGAAAAATGATGGTAACAGGCAAGGGCTTATCATGCAAAATTTTAGTAAGTCGCGCACTTCTCTTAGATGGTTAATAATTTTGTTGTCAATTCCTTGAACTCCCCCTAACCTCACAATTGTGTTATACAGAGTTTCGACTCTATAAAAAACTGATTCATGGCTGTCAGAATCTAAGTTTGGTGAGGCAAGTTGTTGCAAAATTGCATTAATCCATGCTCTAAGACAATTCACAACTTCTGCCATCTTGCAGCTTTCCAAGAGTAACATAGACTTTCTTTCTGTGAGAAGAAAATGCATAATTGATTTATCACTCACGCCAGACCATAGCGGTTGAGCTCTCTGAAGACCTGGATTAACGCGAACATAATTCAAGACATGAAAATTAGCATTGAGGTTTTGCAGAACACCATACGGACACCTCCCGGTTACCCAGACACCGCCTCCCAGTTAGCTCAATGGATAGAGCACTGGACTGATGTGCGGGAGGTCAAAGGTTCGTACCCTGGCCGGACCAACACTCAAGGTCTTAAAGTAATTGAGAAGAATATGCTGTCTTTCTATAACATCAAGAAATGGTTTAGATATTCTAGTCTTCTCGGATAGGGACAAATAAATGGAGGTCCCGTCTCCTGCAGGGTTAGGGGTAGGAGACCTTAATTTCCCATGCACAAGATTTACTGTGTGATGGATGTCCTCCCCTGGGGTGGGATGGGTGGGTTGTTGTCTTGCGTTTCATACATGAGCCTCTGGCTC